ATATATATATATATATATATATATATATATAAACATAAATAAATTTCACATTTGATTTGTGTCCTATCTCTAGGGTATATGATGTTAGGCAAATTATTCCAAAATCTAAAAAACTTCTGGTGTCAAGCACTTCAGATGAGGGATACTCAACCTGCATTGTGTTTTGTGTTCTTAATTTGAGAAAGTTATTTTTCTCTGAAAAATTTTTAAAAGTTGTTTGGCTTGTGTATACCCTTCAATTAAATTTTTTCCTATCATCTTATTTCCTTCTGAAAAAAGAGATGTTCATCTGTATGCTTTCTCTGGAAACCACGTACGCCCAGAGCAGACTTTCACAGAATTCGTAAATCGCTCTGGCCTGCAAGGGCTTCGTCACTTCCCGCTGTGAGTGCACAGTGGAGGCAGCAGGATGGAAATCCACACCTCCGGGTACCCACCTCCACGCGAGCGAAGCTACTGCTTAGGCCAAAGTCAAGTGTGGGACCACAGACGGATGCGAGGAACACAAAGAACAAGACGACATTTGTTTGCCTGGCATAAAACTATCACACCAAGTAAAACGAAAGCCCAAGTTTTAATTACATTGTAATTCCAGATTCAACAAAACATAGTCCATTTTATCGTGAATAAGTAAAACATTACAAAAGCCTGCAACAGATTCTATTTAAATCTTTTCCTGAAGTGTATTTTCTGCCACAGCCACAAATAAAAGTCCCTTTATGATATCAGGAATGTGGTTTCTTAAAAAGTCTGGTCTCTGGGTTCAATCAATTAACATTCAATGTTTCGGTAGTCTGGTGGTTAACATCTGAATGAAAACAGCTTTATTTTGTCTATAGTTAAGATCAACAGGAGAAGGCTCTGATGTGAGATATCATATCTTTCTGCTCTTGGTTCAAGGGATTAAAATCATTGCAAGAGAATGCCTGAATTTCTACAACAAATGACTATTGTTTTCTTGTGGAATGTTATTGACAGATTCTTAAACATGCCTTAGATTCCTGTAAAAATTGCTTGCAAGCAAACTGCTTTGAAACAATACAGCATTGTTACATCAATATAACAAAAACAGCAAGTTTGGCTAACCTTTAATCCTGGTGCTGACATGAGTTATAATTTCGTGTGCTTTAAAAATGTTTAAGGTAGGGTGAAACATTTCGTAGCACTCTCCGAAGTTTGTTTTCTCTCCCCACCCACCACAAAGCTTTACTTTATGCTGATACACAATCACTAAACAACACGGTCATGTCATTCTAGATCTACGGGTTTGTAGGGGAGCTCCGGAACCAGCCGAGGTTCTTAGAGCGTGGCAACACTTGGGAAGCTCCCGGGCTCTCCTCCTAAGATCTAGCCGGGGTGGAGCTGGAGCCAGTTATTTGGCAGAGCTGGCCCGCTTATTCTAATATGCAGTCAGGCTTGAGAACCACTAGGATGGCAGCATCTGAAAGAATGTCAGGGTCATGACCACATGAGGCGGGTAGGCCAAAAGACTGCCGCAAATGTCTGGAAGGGAAGCCAGGTGCCTGACAGGTAAGGACGGTGACAGAGCATCCCACATACGGCTCATCATCCAAGCACACGGGACGACTAGCTAATGTGTGCCTGGCAGTGACGCGCAGGATCTTTAAGGGGGGAGGGGGTGCCGTGCTGCCCTGGACTGTCCCGCATTTCCTAAGAGCAGAAAGCAGAATAGGGTTTCACAGGGAAAAGGAACAGAGCTGGGTACTTTCCAGAGAGGTGGTTCTTGGGACCAGCTTGATGCTAAGGAGGGAGATGGAGATGCTAGGAAAACAGAGAACGGTCCAGAGACATCCCTGGGAACGCTGCACCACTCAGGAGGGAAGGAAAGGCAGCTGACTGCCTGTCAGGGGTTAAGCTTTGATCCTCTCCCTGGTCCTCGGAGAGACCCTGTTGGCAGGGTGGGGACTGTGGGATTGGAAAGTCTCAGGTGTGGCCCAGCCAGTGGCATGGTTGTTATGGTAGGCTGGGTCCCTCATGGTCGACTGCATGGTTCAAGTCCCAGACCCAGCGGCTTAAAGAACACGCAGGGGTATCGCCAGAATTCCAAGAGGGGAATGGAGGAGAAGGGATTGCAGCAAGACCATCCCCCCCACCCCCCGGGGATCCTTTCCCACTTTTTCTCTCTCTCTTTCTGGTGAGTTCAGGTGCCCTGTAGCAAATTAAAAAAAAGAAAAAAACTTTTTTTTTTTTTTTAATAAATAAAAAGTGTCTGGTGTGCCTGCCATGGTTTATTTAAGCCAGGCGTCATCATCCAGGGGCTGGGTCTGGGGTGGGCATGTCCAGCCACACACAGCCTGCTACCCTCCGCCCTCTGTAGTTTTGTTTAACCCAGCGCAGCCTAAAGTTCTAACGAGGGCCCATGGGACTTCGGTGTGACCTGGACAGGACAGAAGAAACGGTGAACATGCGCTCCTGTGCAGATGACCCCGACTTGCCTTGTCCCCGGGGGGTCAGTCAGGGTTAGACTCTAGGTCACCCCAGGGCTGGCAGAGGGTTCAGGGCAGCTGTGGGCTCACTCAGGAAGTCAAGTCCAGACACCGGCCCAGTCTCTGGAGCTGAATGTGGAGAGCTTCCCCTGCCTGTTCTCTTAGCTCTCTGCTACCATCTGTGGGGAGGCTGGCGGGGTCCAAGAGGTAGTTGAGGTTTTTGCTTTGGTTTCTTTAGATCTCTGATGGTTAATAAAAACTTTAGACTTTTTCAAAATGTATAGATTTTTCCCAAGTTTTTTGTTGTTGTTGTCAGTTGATTGCTTTTTGGCCCCCCCCCCCTTTTTTTTTTGTGCAGGCTCTGTGTTCAGCTTTATGTCTCTTTGAGAAATCTCGTATGTAATCTGTACTGTTTTCTTTGTCTAAATTAGGGAGCTCTGAATTATTCGAAAGTCAATTTCAGTCTTTGTATACTTACTGTTGCAATGTTTCAAAGCCTTGTTCTTTATAGAGCAGTTCTTGTTTCATCTGTGAGAGTTCTCTCTTCAGCTTTTTAACCTTTTATGAGAAATCAATGCAAAGATGAATGTTTGTAAATAATTGGGGACACAGCACATCCGTTTAAAAGATAATAAATTAGTAAACTATTAAATATATTAAACACGCCGTCAGTTTAAATAACATTCACTTTACTAGTTTATTCTGCACATAAATTCTTTGGAAGGCATACTCATCACGTTTAAATGACCAGAGATGGACGCTATTATTATGATGTACCTCTGCGATCTTACTTAGCAGCAGTCCTATGCGCTAGACCCATCCTGGTCTCCCCTTTGCAGCAGTAGCCAATGAGAACAGCCAGAACGTCAAGCCTTGGCAACTCCACCATGACGCC